TTCCCACATACTCGCAATGCATTCCCTTCTCAGGGTGGTGTCTTGTGCTATTTGCTATAGATATGGCCTCGAAAAAATCCTGGCCTGTTATTTCGTACCGGGGCCGCTTTCCTTCCGGAATGTTTTGCACTGTAAACCACTGGAACATTATCTTTTCCGCTAATTCTGGCGTGGCCCAGTTAGCTAGCGCCTTATAAACAAGGTCACAATAATTGTCCTTCTTCGCTACTTCCAGCTCCACCCTGGCCCCAGTCTTAGTGAGTCCAGAGTTGACTAATATTAGTGTTACTATATTCATACAGAGATTTAAGGCTTGGGTGCTGGAGTCCCCTTTCCTGACTGTAGTGTCCTTTGTATAGTGGTCCCAATTCAATAATTCGGTTTTGGGGGTACACCTCTGGCTCCTGGTGTTTTGGGTTCTGTCTGTATATTCTTCATAGCTACATTCTCCTTTCAGATAGATTTTTCCGTTTATTTCTTTTATTTCTTTTGTTGTGATCCACTCTTCTAATTTCTGACATATACTCGTAGTAGTGCCGTATACCCGCTCGGCTTCCCCGGGTCTATTTTCCTCTTCTGCCGGTTCATAAAGCCTGAACTGATTTAAGGGGGTGTCTGCACTGATCTCTAGCAATTGACAGATTCCTCTTGGTTGTCCGTCATCTTGATGACATTTCATCTTTGCCTTGAAGTCGGTTAGTAGCTCCTTCATATATCCAGCGAAAACTGATTGCGTACTCATCCTTCTCAAACGATGCTTGTTTTATTGGTGTTGGATCCCTAGTCCTGCCTTATCCTAGTCAATTGACTAAAGTAGGATAAATAAATCCTAGTGATTACGGAAAACGATGAACTACTAACCACTAGACCTGCATGATGATGGGTGGCATCCTCCATATCTTACTCCCTTGCTGAGTTAGGGACCTATGTGTTAACTGTCTGGTTGTAGCTTCTGCCTAGCCTCCTGGTGTTTTGGCGCCGTTCCTTCTCTTGTTTCTGTTGAGGTTATACGATCTTCGTTATTATATCTTCGTTCCCTCGGCGTTCTACTATCTCCGCATCCCCTCACCTGGATTTTTTAATATCCTTTTTTCTATCTATTCTCTCCACCTTCTCCTTTATTCAAACGCCTTCTCTTCATATACTGAGTGCTACTCCTCATCTATCTCGAGGAGGGGTTGTCTACTTGACGCTCCCTGGTGCAGGAGTCTCTCAACCCCTGGATCCTGATTTAATAAAGACTAAATTCTCGCTCACTTGGCCCCGGTCTCATCTCATCTCCCCTCCTCCAGGTCCCTCCTTCTTCTCCACATCTACCAAATTACTCCCCCCTGGGATTTGCTGTGAGGGCCTCGGGCCCTTTAACTCGTTATATTCCTGGAGCTCAATTTTCCCGTAAGTCTTCTTTCCCTTGAAATTCTGTTAAAAATGAGAGTTCGTTACAGGAGGAGAAGCTTTATTCTTCTAACACTCTCTGACTTCTATAGTGGGCCATTCTCGTGGATTCGCTTTTATGTTGCTCCCTTATAATATCCTCCCTACTGCTGACTAACAGTCATTTCGCGTTATCTCTGCTTGAGGACAAAGTATTTCTGCCCTCTTAAGAAGTTTCTGGATGCTTTTTCTCGCTCCCGCGGCTTTTCCTTCTCAGACATACTGCCGTATGCGAGGCCCTTTATCCGTTGGGTCTATAATTAATTCCATACTTCCGTCAGTAAGCTTCATCTAACTTCAGATTATCTCTTCAATATGTTCTGTTCTCTTTCTCTCCCCTACGTGCTCCTCCTATTCATTGCCATACGTTCAAACTTATTGGCCTTCCTCGTTCTTATCTTATCTGGGGGGGGTTTCACGTGTTATTTTCTCCCTTTTTCCTCATTGATTAATAATCCCTGAGGCCACGTGCTGAATATCCTGGAGCGACTTACCAAAAGGGGCTGCCGGATGCTTATCAACCTTTATTCTTCATGTTATCCCTTCCTATGTTCCTAAGACTTAGTCATCCTACGGTGACTCCTAAGGATTGGTAAAGTTGCTCCTTCGTTTGGATGCTAAGAAACTCTTCCCATTATTCTCTAGTTTCCCCCTCTTCACACTAAAATAGACTCCCAGCTCTTCGGACTCATACTACTTAGGTGTGGGGTTATATTATAGTTTCCCTGTACTGCTGCCTCGGCGATTGGGGGTCCACTATTTCCTGTTCTTTCTTCTAATATCTCCTAATGCTTCGCCTCTTTTCGTACAGTTATACTTGGACATTATCTTTACTCACTATTTTTTATTTATAGAGGCGCCCTCTGGGATCTTAGCGTACGGCCTCATCTTCGTCGGCTTATTCGATTTGGCCTTTTTGACAGACTTTCTCTAACTTTCAAACTTATCTCAGCTCCGTTCTTGCCTATTTCTTAAGATTCTTACGTCATTGGGGACTTTATGATTTAACATTCACTATACGATTCTCCTGAGGCGTGATTTTCTGTGCTGGATTGGGTACGAGATTTCCTGGTGTTGCGGTTTCTTGTTGGACTAGCTGTTCATATTCATGTTAAGTTTCGCTCAGGGGAAAAGTCTGGCATGGCCTCCTAATCCTGAGACGTTCCAAGGGAACTGGTTGTAGGTTGTGCTCTGAAGCTTCTTCCTTTCATATATTTTTCTTCATTTCTAGTCTGACGACTCCTATGTCCCTCGTCTCCGTCGGGTCGTTGCTTGGAATTGGAGTCGCCTCACGCCTACATCTGGGGATTTCCTGCTTGTTTTTGCTTTAGGGCGCTGCTATTCCCATCTCCTCATCACACATCATCGCCTACTGCCTTCTATTTATTGTAACGCTTGCTCCTAGGATTCTTTCCTTTTCTTCTTCTTCTGCCTATCCGGGCGTTGCTGATATATTATAGGCCTCCTTAGAGTTCTTGTTATGGTGTTCTCTGGTGGTGGTTCTCTTTATTTACGATAATTCCGAATCTTGACTCCTACTTAGGCTTGGATCCATCTCTTTAAGTTTTAGCTTGAGTTTACTTTAATCAGAGGTTCCGGTTATCGTTATCCGCCTCGCTTTAATCTCGTCTTATTGAACCCGTGGGGGGAGGTTCTTCCGTCTTATCCCCTTGGATTTGGAGATTATTCTGCTAATTGACTTTAAATTACAATTCTACGGGATTGGTCGGATTTAATTCGGGTACTTTGGCCTCTCCTATTGGTTCGAAATTTCTTATCGGATGTCTATTATGTACATGTGACTTGTTCCGGATCCTGTTTTGGTTTTTTATTCATTTTTCCATTCTACTCTTTGATAGAACATTTTCTATTCTCTTGGTTGTCCCCTACTACTCCTGCCTCGGAAAAGTCCTTTTCTTGTGTGGAGTTCTACTGGTAAGGTTATGCCTCCTCTGTTTTTGCGAGTTTCCCTTTGATGTGTTACTCTTCTCCTCCAGTCTGGACTCTTATCTCCTGTTCCTCGTCTTTAGTTGACTTGTATTCTATCTTGGCGAAATTTCCTCTATTCTTTATAAACTTCTCAGGAATTTTTTCCTTTGTCATGTCGGGGTTGATATATATTTGGTAAATCTGTTTCCATCTGTTGGGTCGTCCTCCTTAATCTTGGCATAGATACCATGTTCTTAGCCTCTTGTTCACTCTTTTTTAGAGTTGAGTGTACCTCTATGTACTACGCTCTTTCGAGGACAGGGTCCAGGGTCGTCAGAGACTAATTTTTGGCGTCGTCCCTGGAGCTATAGTTTGTATAGGCCATTTGGAATTTAATACGGATTTGTCATATGGCTAGTTGCTGCTAACTGGTGTCGTAGGCACATTCCACTGTTTAGATATCAACCTCTTCGCTCTTTCCCCACCTCGTCCGTATTGCTGTTGGGATTATTCCACCCAGGGACGCTTGTCATCCCGCCTGACGTTCCTCGTTCTATAGGGGAGTCTCTGTAGTCATCCCAATCATCCGTTAGGGGTTGTTTGTGGGACTTCTTCATTATTTACGGGGTATTATTCCCTCTCCTCCTTTTTGGCAGCGTTGGGTTCATTAAGGGGATTGCCCACTATCTTAGAGCCAGTTGAATGCTTCTAACTTTTACCTGAGTCACTTAGGTGTCATAGTTGGCGTTCTATGGATGCCTTGCTACTCGTAAAATTGGGTGTCTGTGAATATGGTGTCTGCTAGAGACCTGTCTAGGTTTCGCCACTCCACCTAATGCCCTGGGTTACCTGCACTTTATACTTATCCTATCCTTCTCTATAATTGGACGCCTTATGTGGGCTCCGTCTTGTGGCCCGTCTTCCGGACTCCTGATTCCGAATTGTTCCCTCCTCTAACGTAGTAACCCTTCTAGGAAAGATTGCCGATTTTTTGTGCTCAACAGGCTCTTTCCCCAGAAGCCACTTAGACATGCTACTAATACTAACTCGGGAAAACTGACTTTATCCTCTCGGGGTTCCTCTATCTGGATTCTTCCTGAGGAAACTGCGCTTACTGTATCATCCCTCTTTGCCAGGGATATTTCTCATCTTCATCTACTCACTTTGGAGGGTGTTATTCTTATCGAGCTAAAGCCCGGTCCATGCGTCCCGGAAGTCCCTTGCTTTCCCCTTTATTTTTACTTTATACGTTATTTCACACTACTGTTGTTTAGATTCCCCTGGAACTGATTCTAGCTCTCGTTCCTCTTTAGTTTTAGCCCTCGCGTTTTCTCCCTTGCGCACTATTTTAGCGAAAGCTTCGTGGCTTTCTGCAAATCTTTCCCTTCTATTTTGTTTTATGCCTAATGTCACCCTTGAAGTCTTTAATTCAATCCTTCCCATATTGCCTGTAATACCGAGATCCATTTGTCCTATCCTCCGTGTTCTACATCACATAGCCCTCCGTGCTTGTTCTAACTCCCCGAACCCCTAGTCTATCCGGTTCAAGCGGTTACTCCTCTCGGCTTTGGGGAACTCTTGGAAGTACTGCTAAGTTTTTGGCTTCTGATATCTTACCCTGCGGGATTCCTTTATTTGACTAATAATGTCTCGGCTGTTGGGCCTTGCCTAAATTATATGGAGTTGATATGTTTTATGCCGCTCTGCGGTTCTTGCCATCTCTTAGTCTAGATTGTCTGGTGTCCTACTATATACAGTCCTCTCAAAAGGCAGTCCTAGAATCCTATGTCCCTGGTTGGGGCATTGGAAGGGTACATATCTCGGCCGTCGGGGGGTTGGCATATTACTCGTCCTGTTTACCCCTCATCCGATAGTTTATCGCACTGGATGCCACTCATCCTTACTTTCCCCTAGATAGTCCTCCACCGTACGTTTGCTTTCATCATCATCTTAGAGATTCCTTAGGCTTCCCTCATTTAGTGATTTCTCTGTTCCCTTTTCCTTTCATATATTTTTAATTATATGTCAGGGTTAGCCAAAACATCTCTTGCTAAACTGTTAGGACTTGTGTCATTAATCCACTTTATGCTTGACATCTGTAATCCTCTTTGGCTCCCGTTTCACCTCCGGCTACTTATTCCTTCTCTGCAGAGATTATCAGCGGGATCCTATACAGTCGTCATGCTCCCTGGCGCATCCCTTCACTCGGTGCCTCTTGGGGTATTTTAGCGCTGTTCATTTCTTTTTACATTCTTCTCATATTCCTATGGTGACGCTTCCCATAGATTGTGAGCATAGCTGTATTACTTGTATTATTTGTTGTTGGTGTTCTAGTCTTACCCTCCTTTATACATTCTGCTGCTTATTACTCTTCGCCCG